GAAAAAGTTAAAGGAATGCCTTTCCAGGTCAAGAATTCGGATCAATTGTAGGGTTTTTTATCACCTTATTAGTGCAGATCTTTCGCTTGTGTAAATGTTCATATTTTACTGCTCATTCAACATTCTTTATGTAGTACTTTCGATGTTTTAGTCGATTTTCGATTTTGAAGGCCTCATAGGGCGGGGTTCATCTTCAATGGGTTCTCCACCTTTGAAAAATGATTTGCGCAAGCAAAAATCTCGAGCACGGGATAAGGAATGTTCCAGTGGCGACGCTTGACTTCTCCTAGACTATTACCAAAACCAGATGTGAAAAATCTTATCAAAAACCTCCCAAATATAATATTTTTTGCTTATTTCAGGTATTTTATTTAAACTATTTTCAAATTAAGGTAAACATTCCAGGACTGAGCGTCTGGGGCGCTTGCTATACCTAATCGTCTCATGCTATGACCAGTCCAAGCCATCCGAAAAAACAGTCGACGTTTCTAGATGTTCAGAAAATTTTTGATCTTTTTTGGCAATGAATGTTAACCATTCCATGTAATTTCCTCTATTGTCAAAGTCATCCCCTTCAAAATGAACGGTAATTCCTGTTTTGCCAAAAAACATACGGTATCTAGAAGTGTGCTGCCTAAAAGCTTGTTTAAGACAACTTTCGATTCTTGTTTTACCAAACTGAATTAAATTGGCTACACATCTCACATGTAACGGAGAAATTTCATGTCTCCTCTTTAGAGCCCTAAAACTATTTCAATCGCTGGTCCACCATTTTTTTCTGTATAAAACAGAAGACATCGCCAACAATACAATCTGTTTTTTGCAACCACATAACCAAGAGTTTCCATATACCAACTTAATTTAAAATATCAAAGTACGTTTTTTTATTCCTTTTTAAAATTATCTAAAGTAGGTGTTGGTCTTCCATTTTCAATGATATCCTTTTTTTTTCTTAAAAATTATACAAGGAGAATGACTTTTCAAGTAGTTGATCGATTACGCAGCAACACTCATCCATGTTTAATTGCACGCACACTACAGCCAGTAACCAAAACGGCTACTAACGAGTGAGAAGTGAGTAACCAAATCAAAAAATGTTAACAAGCCCACATAATAGTCGCAGCGCCCCACGCACTCGAGCGACCGCGATCAGGCACGAGCCGGTACCGACAATCCCCGACGGACTACCAAGTGTATCCATAAATAAAAATGGTAACAACCGAACAAAGTCGAGGCGAGTCAGCTTCATCGTGTTCGCAAAACCTAGACACTATAGGGCGCATTATTTTCGTTGGGCTAATTTGCTATTTAGTGAATTACTATTACATACCGCTGTTGGTAAACAAATAAATGAAATTATTTCACAGTAACTTAGTCAGAAAATATATATTTTTAATATCTTAAACTGTTACCAATAGTAACAATGGTTACATGGACGCTTCGCCACTGGAATGTTCCCCATATGCCTTTTTCAACTTTTCAAATATCACACTCGCCAATTTTGCAAGCCTAACACAATATTTAGTGACACAATGTTGATCGAAATTCCGCTATTACATTCTGCGTGACATACAACCAAAACACAACTTCACTAATAGCAGTCCCAAAAATGCGAACGAAGTTGAAACTCGCACTGAGTGATGGGAAGGGTCTGACACACGTGTCCTATGAAGGATAAGGCTGGGCGCATACAGTCGTTTTGCGTATACGGGTTCCTAATCAGGAATTCCAATTCGGAATTTCGTGAGCCTAGCGCAAACGTTCAATTTTTTGAAGAGAATATTATACTACCAGTACGTTCAGTGGCGGCTCTGTGAATGCTTGGCGATTGAAAACGACGATTTAATTGCGATTGCACTTCTATTATCATTATCAGAAAAGAAGAAAAAGAAACGTCGGTTTGGGTGCATCCGTTAAACAGTCAGAGAATCTACGAGAGTTCATTTTATCTAAAAAGATCAAAGTTACGAGCACGTCCAGATAAATTCTTTGACTTCTACAGGATGTCAATGCAATTTTTCGATGAACTTCATAATGGCATACATGATAAATTAAGCAAGATACCTGGATGAGATTATCTCTGGATACACAACATAGATGTACAAACCGAGGCCGAAGCATAAGAGTTTGCTCAGTACTTCATGATGCCGGCAGGAGAAATATCATACGTATATAACGGAAGGATTACCAATTTACAACAATAAAAGTACAGTAGGCAATAATAGTCGTTGTAATTAAAGTGGAAGAAAAGTAATTTTACTCTTGTTTTCTTTTTCCACTTTTGTGCACGAGTTTCAATCCTGTATAACCTCTTTTAAAACTTCCTCCCAAGCCAAATCTTTGACATCTCTATTGTGGTAGTCCTTGTCATGAATATCCCACAAGCAGGAGTTGTTTTCAACAGCCAATGTTAGTTCTTCTGCTTCACACATTGTCCTGATGCATTCGAGCTCTTGATGCAACGGCGTGACGACCAATACGCACGTCACTGCGCGGCTCGGGATGGAAATTTCCGACTGTGTGCGGCGGTACATTACAAATATATGCCAGTACTGCGTTCCGCGTGACGTCACTAGGTTTTATCCGTTCCGTTTTTACGAACGCACGGGCTGGCTTCCAAAACGAACGTACGGAATGTGTTTGGAAAACGTGTGCGGCAGTCAATGTATTTTATTAGCGATTGATGCATTCGGGTCTCCGAATATGGAAAACGAATTCGGAAATCAAACGCGAAAAACAAATGTGTGCGCCCAGCCTAACAACACAGCGCTGCCAGATCGCTTGCACTATTAGCAGACTCATTATTCTTCTGCCACATCCTCTCAGCGCCAACATGCTATGTTTGGTAGAGGGCGGGTTTACTGGTACCAGATGAGGAAAAATTGAGTAAGAATAATACTAATCTAATTTGAATTCTGATTTTTATATAAACTTTGTGAGATATTAATATAAAGTGATATTTAGTACTGTCTTTCCACCGATCATAACTTCTGCCAGATGCTTTAAACAAGGTGTTCCCATATAAATTGACCCCAAGGAGCGGTCTAGCAATAATAATGTTTTATTGATGTTATTGCTCAAAACGTGCTTACACAAGTCTATACTATACATGAAGGTTAGTAGCAAGAAGAAAATAAATGACAACAATACAACAAACGCTACAGGTCATACACATATATAATGGTAAAAAGGGTGACAATAAAAAGTACAAAAGATGAAATTATAACAAGCTACATCCAATCAATAAATGAATGCCATAAGAGATAAAACTATAATAAATAATATACAGGTATACATGGTTCGAATAAAAAAAGATAATATAGCATGAACCTTCAGGTGTACGTGGCGAAGTTGTTGTTGACGAACTCGTCAGTGGTGAAAAATCTGTCGACAATAGCAAATTTTTCACAGGATTAGTAGAGTCATTGTATGATAGAGATGTTAGTTCCTTAGATAATATTTTATAAAATAGTGCCCCATGGTTGTTAACTCCATTTCTTGTTCTAGCAAGTCTATGTCGCTTTGGGTACATGTTGTCTTTGTGTCGGGTGTTATATGAATGAGTTTCATGGTGAATTGTATAAGGTAATGTCATGACGTTTTCCTATGGAAGTACGCATGGAAACTGGTTAAAACAGGACCTTTAGTGGAACTAAGTCTAAGCTGATATAACACCAAGAAACTTCACTACGTTTGCGTGGTTATAATTCTGATCAATTAATGAGGTGTGATTGTTATGGATTGAGATTTCTTTGGATTTAATGTTAACTTGTTAGCTATAAGCCAATCCTAACTACTAAATAACTGAAAAACAATTTATTAGATAATTTATATAGAGAAAGAACAGCAAATGGCCAAGGACAGATCCTTGTGGCACGCCATGCAAAATTGTGCTAATTGTATATGTACACCCATTGTATTCGTTGCCTTTGCTCTAAATAAAACTTTAGAAGAACTAGGGCGACAAAAGTCTTGATAGGTGCTGATTATAGACAAAACAAAATGATGTGAGAGGCAAGCTGAGAGGTCAAATCTATAAATTTAAGTTTTGAGGTCTGTGATCTCATCTTGGCAGAGTCTTTTCACCATTGTGCGGTGCGGATTTTTCAAATGCCTCCGATGCGTGAAATTCGCAAAGAGGATTATTTCAGAGAATTGCAAAGCGAAGGAATTTTCGAACAACAAAAAACATTCCCACCATGTGAGGTGAGACTTGCTTCACAGAAAAATCCCAAACTGAACTTGCAGCAGCACTAGCTACATCCATTTATCCATTATATATAATCTTGAAAGCTTTGAATTTCTAAAATTAATCTTGTGGTCACTTTTATAGTCACTGGAAAGAAGTTGTTTCTGCAGTTCTTTTCAAGTCAAAATATATCACAATGATGCTGCTTCCGTCTGTCCAACTACAGAGGGCCAAGCATGCCTATATAACCATTTCAGGTCTCTCGAAATAAGACAACACAAAGCGCCACCTACTACCAGATATAACGATTCATGGAGTTTTTGGTAGAGTAAGCTGCCCTTGAGGATTAGGAGATGGTATTTAAAATTCAAACATAGCTTAATTAACTTGTGTTTAGATCGGCCACACGGTGTAACCGAAAGGCGCATACAAGATGTGAAAGGAGCAATAATAAAAGAGAGACAAATCACATATAGACAGCAGATTTGGGATCATTCAAAAGCTAGACAAGTGTCTATCTTCTCAGCTGTTTGAGTGTCACACACATCAACTGACGCAGAAAGCATGGGAACAGTAACTTGTGCAAGAAATGGTAAAATATTTGGATCTGCAGAGAATAGTACTTGTAAACTCAATCATCTCAGATAACAAAAGTTGACTAAATTTTTTAGATTTTCCAACCAAATGACAACCCCAGGTCTGGGCAGGGGCCGATATGAGATGACACACAACGCAATATGCTTTGGGCCCCCAGAAAAGATTTTGCATAAAAATATCAATGTATGTGTAGATCGAACATGGTTAAACTTACCACAACAGGCCCGTCAGTAACTCCTGATGAACTAAGTGTAGCTCCCAACCACCTCTGACTCTTATCGTCAAGCATGCTGTCTCTATAATATGCATTATCTGAAAAAAATAAACAATGTCACATAGTACAAAATAAAAAATATGTATTGCTCCTTTTCTTGGAAGATACTTTCCCAGAATATTGTATCTTTCTATGTATGTGGGCGACATTTTTTTAAGTTCAATAGGATACTTAGTCGTTCACGTTTAACGAATCATTTTTACATTCCTGTTTTACGCTCCTGGCTATATTTAACGTTGAATTTTGGCAATAAATTTGACAAAGTGACGGTGGCGTATTCAGGTGAGAGTGTCGTGGGGGTGTCTCCCCCAAAAGATCAATGTTTAAAAAAAAATCGAATATGTTCTTCACTCCCTCCCCGCTCTTCAACTTTGAATCGCCGATCCCCCTAGCATTTTTCAAGCGGGTTACTCTAAATCCATCTTATCGTCGGCTTTCTCGCGAAGTGTCCTAACCAATGTTTAGTAAATTTTACAGGAGAGCCAGAAAACGCAATCAGAGTGCTGTTGATTGAGTATTGTATGTAAAGTTTAGATATTTCCCAATTGAAAATTTCAGTGTATCAGCCCATATTCATCGTAGGTCATATGCTGTTTCAATATTTGCGGTAGCTAATCAAGTTATTTTGCAAAAAATTGGAAAACGCACGTAGGTCACTTCGTGAGAATTTTGACAAGATTTTTGTCAAATAGACCTATAATATATTTTTATTAAAGTTCTTGTTATTATACTTTTTGAGATATTTAGAATTTATTTCATTTACTTATAAGTAAAGAATCATATTTCCAACCAAGGGGGCGATTATCTCAGAAAATTTGTTGATTGTTTAATTTTTTAAGTAATCGTTGGTCTGCTGACAGCAGAGTTTATGTAAAAAATTTCAGATCGACTTTTGAATTTTGGCTACCCCCTAAAAAATGCCTAAAATTGATGTGGATTATGACACAAATATTAGGTGATGAGATGAAGAAACAACTCGAAACGTCAAAGCAATTTTTATTAAAATAAAAACTAAAAGAAAAGCAACTAACTTAAACATTATCTTTTGACATATTACCAGCTAATGTTGATGTATTATAATACACAAAACAACAAAGGCAAAATTATTAATAATTAATTCCGTTTCATGGAGCAGATTTCTAAAAAAGTTAATAATTTAATATCATGTATAGTATTACTATTTCTCGTCAGTCTTTTTAACTCAATACTGTCATATCTAGTATCGTGGTGGATAGGCTTAAAAAATATTTTGGTGGACATGCCTTTTCTTACCATAAGCTTCATTCAATATTTTGCCCTTTCTCAGTTTGCCGAGTGAACAACATTCTTAAGCCTTTTGAAAGTTTCTTGAAGTCAAATAATTCATTGGTATTATTAGGTTGACGTTTTCTGGCCAATCAAAATACCGGATAGAGTTGAGAGGGTTCAAAAAGATCTGCAGCTCCCTTTATCGCAGTTCGCAGTATGAATTGCACTGTGAGAAGAGTTTCACTTTGGCCATGATTCGACCACCGAGGTGCGTATATTTAGAAGGATTATTGCATACTAAGAGACCTATCTTCATTTAGGTCTCTTCGTGGGAATTATATATTTACCTTTGCAGAGAAGACACCCAGAGGTTAATGGTATGTTGCCTACACTAATAGATATATAGTTGTGCCTCTTCCTCAGATTAACCGGCATGGAATAATACACGTATATGCGAGTTAACTCATTTTTTGTATTCTGTCAGTTAGGACACTTCGTGAGAAAGGCGATGATTGTACCCTTCAAAAATATGTTTTGCACAATTTTTGATCATGGCTTCGCGGCACCTATTTTTCTTTAGACATATTCGAAACCGCCATCCTAACTTAAGCCAGTTTACTGTACTTCGATTATTTGTAGATAACCATTAAAACCATAAGACTAGACGGTTGTACAAAATACGTACAGTTTCTCATGCGTATTTTAGCCATAACAATACAGAATGTGTCCATCAACAATTAACTTCTATTGTAGAAGCCCAAGTTGTACGAGGTATCGGTAGTCAGTGAATTCACATCGCATCTAAAGCCGCGTACAGACCGAGAATCCAACGCCGGGAAAACGAATGCAAGCACATATGACGTAGGTGTTTGTTGTTGGAAGGTATTGGAATGCGCTCGGCGACACATCATCCACACCTAAATTCATTTTTGAGTTGGACCGCGTTGGTTTAAGTTCGATGCTAATGTCGAGCGACGAGTTTCCTTCTATCGAATGCATACAAACGACTGAATACTAGAAGCGCAACAAATCTTGTCCACACCAAATAAAACTTCCATTTGATGTAGCGATCAAGGAGCGAACGCAATCGAACACCAACGCTACCTTGGAAACCGTTGGCTTATGTTGGCTCGCGCCGTACACACCAATTCGAACTCCTATAAGTCTGTAACCACATGTGTCTTGATTTGCGTTGTAATCTCGGTCTGTACGCGGCTTAAGGAAAATTGTACCGGGCATAAATCGGGCGCATATTATGCCGGATATGGAAAAGCTTGGTACCCACGGTTTAAAGAGTTATTTGATGGAGTTGAATGCGTGGTAGCAGTCTGAAAACATGCCAGTTGTTGTTAAGTCGAGATGATGTATCAATGAAAATTGGCGGAAAAAAATATCAAGAACATGCAGCTGGTTAACGAGGCTGATACGTTCTCCATTTGAGGAATTAATTATTCTCCGTGCTACATTTAGCTTGAAATTCTCCAATCAGAATTAATTTATTGAGTCCTCGTTACGTATTATGAATCGGCAAGAAGTACCTATTTCAGCTGCAAAAGTTTCGATCGGTACCAAAAAATCCGTCGCATGACTAGAGTTTGTGACATGTATCCAAATTCGAGCGTTCTCGCCAAAGCGACGGCTACCCGACCAGTCGCTCAATGGTTGCTGGCAGTGCCATCTCCAGGAGGGTTGCTGTTTTTTTTTACTTTTTTTCAGAGAGTAGGAAATGTACCTACCGTACGCAATGGCGCATTGCCGGTTGGGCAACTCAACAATGCACTGCTACAGTGTGAGTCTCTTACTCACTAAATCTCCTCTTTTCTAGACCGTGTTTCATCTACGGTACTACCTTGCGGATTTATCCATCGTAGATGGGGTCCCTTGTGATGCTTTTATTGTGACTTCAGCGACAATCGATTTTGCTTATCCTATTCTAGCTATCTACGGAAGTTGTAGCAGTACCCTATTTTGCCCTTCCTTTTCTTCCTTTCTGTTTCATTATGTCAATAACGAATGTCTCGATGAGATTTCAGTTTTCCTCTGAGTTGAGCATTAGCAGCACCATGGTATTTGCTGTTATCGCTGAATTAACCATTTGTGTAAGGGTACGTCTCTGCTGTGTCCATTTTTTGCATATAGAAAGCGTATAGTTTGCGTCATCCATAGGAGCATCGCAGTATCTACACCTTTCGTTTTCGCGTGGTCTAATTTTTTTCAAGTAAGGGTTAGAGCAACCGTGCCCCGATAACGCCTGCGCCAAGTAAAAGCCGACTTCTCCGTGACTCCTCTGGACCCACTTGGTAATTTGCGGTATTAATTTGTACGTCCACCTGCCGACAGAGTCTTCGCGCCATCGCCTCTGCCATTTTTCCATCAGTCTTGCGTCTTTCCGAATCGTGTCCTTGGAGTGTGCATCTTCCTGGTTAGGTCGTGTTGCTTCCAAGTCTTTTCTACGATTGTAAGCATATGCCTTTTCTTGTGCTAAAAGATCAACGACTAAGACCGCACTTGTTGTATTATCCTGTATGCTGATACGATCCTAAGTACCGCGCAGCGCTGTGCGGTTAAGAGCTTCGCCCATAGTGTATGGTTAAGTGCCATACTGGTACTGGATAGAGCAGCTTTGAGTGTACAACGCTTGCCAGCAGCTTTCGCTCAGACCTGCGTAGCCCTCAAATGTTCGACATAAGTCTTGATAGGCTCGCCGTTCATTTAATTGCACCTAGAGTAGCCTTTTGGTATGGTAAGTAATCTGCATTTTCCACTCTAGGTGGTAGCCATCTATCGATAATGAGGTTACGGAACGATCTTCTATCGGTAGCGAGCAAGGTCTTGTCCAATGCCATTTCCAGGCCTCTGAGCTCGATCCAATGCTTTGCTCTTGACAAACTGTCATTCACTTTTATTCCTACTACTAGGCGGCAGCGGAGAAAATAATTGCATCGTAAGCGAGGTCCATTCGTAGGAAATCGTCATTCATAACGTTCTAGAGAAGAGGACCTATCCTCGATCCCTGTGAAGTACCGCAGTCATTTTCTCGTACATCGATCATGTTTCCGTATCATAGGTTACACATATGTCACTCTTATAATTCACTATCGTTCCCAATATGTTGGAAGGGACCTTCTTGCGTGTCAGGGAACTGATGATTATATCCCATCTTGCGGAGTTGAAGTCGTTTCAGATATCTATTGCAACGAGTGCACAGAATCCTTTTCGCTTGCCTGAACTTTCCACAGCCATTGCTTTCCATGCTTTCTCCACTACGAGGCCAATAGCATCAACAGTATGCTTACCTTTGCGCAAACCAAACATTATCCGACATACCGTTTTCAGGTGTCATGTAGGCTTGTATTCTTTGTAGGATCAATTCCTCAAAAAGCTTTCCCGATCATATCTAACAGGCAAATAGGTCGATAAGACGTCACAGAGTCAAGAGGTTTGTTCCCTTTTCTCCAAATTACCAGCTTTTGTACTTTCCAATCTTCGAAGAATCTTCCTTCTATAACGCATAAGATGTAGTAGTAACATTTCAGGGTATACTTCGATTACCTTCTTGAAGATCTCGTTAGATATACTGTCGGGTCCCGGAGCTTTTTCAGGCTTCAGTTTCTTTCCAGCTTCCCTAGGTTCTTCCAAGGTGAAAAGAATTACCTCACTAGCTGGTGGGCGGTTTTCGTAGAGTACTGGATTTCTCTCTATAAACGGGAACAAATACCTTATTATCGAGCTAACCCAGTATCGATCTTGTAAGCATGGGATCTGCTGACAAATCCGAAATTTTTTAGTG